GTTTTTGGTTTGTGCATGTAGGGGCGTAATGATGTAGGGAAGGGGTAGGTCAGAGGAGCTAATTAATAAGTAGAAACCTTGGATAAAAGGAATTTAAAGAAAAAAAGACCATAACTTAATTGTGTCAGGGATATTGCCAAGATTTAATTGTGGGGATGAAATTATGAGTAGGTCATTAGGGCTAAATGCCAAGATTAGGTTAATATGTAAGGAAAAGCAGATAGGCTGGTTGGACTTGTGGGATCAGTTCAATGGGAGAAGGGAGCTTTTTGGAATAGGATATTTTTGGCATGTTTGCAAAGGCTATTAACTCAGCAGTAAAGAAATAGTTAAACTAGTACTAGACAGTGGTGAGGGCCAGGATAAAACTAAATGTAAAAAAATATATATAGAGAGAGAAAATATTAGCATAGGAAATGAGTATAGAAGTAGTTATAAGGATAGGCTTAATTGTTACTATTGTAATGCTAGAAGTATAAGAAATACAATAGGGCACTGGTAGGAATGGAAGATTTTGATATAATGGGAATAGCTGAAACATGGTTAAATGTAGATGATTTTGATGACACCAATTTATTTTAATTACAGGGTTATAGGTTATTTAATAGGGATAGACTACTAAAGAGAGGGGGAGGGTGGCTTTATATGTGAAATGTGAGTTACATTTTGCTGAAGTTGAGGATATCAAAGATAAAAGCAAGTAGATTTAATCCATTTGTGTTTCTATTAGCAGATATAAAGGGAAAAGGCTTTCAGTGGGAATTTGTTACAAACCACCAGATGATACTTATGAAATTAATAAGAAACTTTACAGTGAGATTAAGATTTCAGCTGTTAATGAGGTCATAATTATGGGTGATTTTAATTTCAGGCATATACAGATTGGGAAATGCTAGAGTCAAACCATTAGGGAGAAAGGTTTTTGGAAACTGTTCAAGATGGTTTTATTCACCACATACTTGAAACAATGCTATTTGAGATTTATTGTTAACTTCTAATACAGAAATTGATAAGTGGGTGGAAATTGGGGAACATCTGGGTGCAAGTGATCATTGCTTTATTAGGTCTGATGTTTAGCTGCAAATGGAGATAAGGAATAATGATATTTTGGTTACAAATTTCAAAAGGGTAAATTTTGAAGGGATGCAACAAGAATTTGGCAGCTGAGATATATGGAGACAATGACCACGAAAAATGTTTAAGGATAAATTATTAAATATTAAAGAAAAACATATTCCTTATAGAAAGAAAGGGTAGCTGCATGTTAAAAACCAGGTTGGCTCACAAAGAGTATGAAAGATAAAATTAAAGAAAAACATCACAAATTTAAGAAATTTAAATTGACTGGTATGACGGGAGATTTAGAAGATTATAGTTTGTTAAGAGAGTTGGTCGAAGAGGAAATTAGGGCACCAAAAAGGGT